GTGAATAACCATTTCGCCCAAAACCATGGCCTCCTCTGAATCTTGAGAACTCACCAAATGTCTAGAACCATATATAATACCGTGTTAAGAGTCTGATCATTTTTTTTTAAACAAAGCTGGAAATCTAATTTTAGACTATATAGAATGTACCTCAGTGCCTAGTTTTCGTTGCTCTGAGAATCTAGATCTTGCATTTTGGGAGTCTCGATTGGCAGAATTCGATGACAGACTATCGAAGAAGTCGTCTTTATTGTAAACATGCTACAAGCAACATATAGATAAGATGAGAGAGGGTGAATATAGCTTAACTTGATTAATAAGTCTAGTGCTCTTACTTTGACATCCATCTTAGGTAGCTCAGCTTCTTCTTCGATCGGGTATTCATCATCTCCATCACCGTCTTTGGTATTCTTCCCAAGATGACCCCACACTTTACCCTTCTTGAACTTTTCATTCATCGCCGTGAAATCAAAATCTTCAGTGAACTTCATTACTTGCTGTGATCTCTGCAAACAAGGACGGCTTTAGTTTTACATTAAGAGCTGCGGTCTAAAAGATACTCCTACCTATTATTAAAATGCATTGTAACATTCAAAAAATGAGTCAGAAGAATGTTACCCCTGCTCCTCTTCCTCTTCCACGTCCCCTGTAACCATTATGACTTGGGTAAGAATGTCCGTTCGGCTGAGAGAAACAAAAAACAAACAAAAACGCGTCAACAATGAAGCACAACAGATTTATATAAGTAGAAATGCAACCAAGATCCAAGGAAGGAACTCGGAAAGCTTTTCTTGCATTCTCGAAAAAGAGAGACAATGGAAAATTAAAGTTTGAATTACCCTAAGTGCAAATCTAATTTTTACAGATTATGTCAGCTAACTAAGATATCAGCATATGCAAAATCATGGTAACGTAATGTGTCCACTACTCCTCAAACCTCTTATTAACAAAGTTAAGAAATTCAATGATCTAACTTTCTGCTATGAATAAGTGAAGCAGTTATAATTCTTAATGGCATGACAGGAAAAATTATCAAAATGATTCTTAAAAATTTAAGAAAATCTAAAACCTGATGAGCCGGCCTTGCAGAGGCAGGCAATGCCAGTATTGGAGGTTGCGCTTCTCATGTATTAGGAACAGATTGTTCCAACTTCCAACCCAGCTGATGATGACACTTGAACCACCTCAACATCTTTATCCATATTTTGAGAAAGCGTAGATAAAAGAACTGAAGCAGATCCATACTGCAGCAGTTGATCAGGAGTAATCAAAGAAGGTTTTGGCTTATCTTGGCTAATAGAACTAGAATCTCCAACAAACGGAGCAGATGCCAATGGCGTTGTCTGGAGCAGAGAATTTGAACCAGGAACTACACTAGGCTTGCTAGACAGTGAAAGGCCAGCACTTGTTTCAGCGGCTCTAGCATTTGATAGAGAAAGGGACGGCAAATTAAAGCAGTATCTTGAGATAGGGTAAGAGGCGCGGCAATAGGAGCTTTGTCAGATAACAAAGGAGGTGACATCTCTGAAGCCTGTGAAGCAGACGGTGCTGAAGGCAGAGTTGATTGCATGCCCGAAGACAGCGTTACAAGTAGACTAGACGGAGGCAATCAAACTGGGTGCTAGAAACTGAGAACTGGTACTATAAGGAAAAAACGGAGCAGATGGTTCTGGCATGCTTGAACCCTGCAAATTTGAGGAACCAGTGGGTAGTGGTAGTGGAGCATTAAAGTTAGGAAATTGCAAGGGTTGCTGCAGAGAAGTAGGCATAAACATCCCCTGAGGTGTTTGAATCATAGACTGTTGATGCAATTGGGGAGGATTGTTGGGAGGTGGCGGGTATAAAATCCTTGCCAATACATTGGCAGTTCCGCGGTTATGGAGACAGTCCCCAAGAACTAAAGATTTCCACCGGGTTGATACAAAGGCATATTATGCTGAAATCCTATCCTATGTTGTCCATTATGAGAACCAAGGTCTGGCATCGATCCACTCACAGTAGAAGGAGGTAAGCTACTATATGGTTACATCAGGTTAGGATAGTGAGACTGTAAAACAAAAAGACAAGTAGAGGATGATGATTGATGACATCAAACTGAATCTAAAACCGCAGATAATATCGTTCTACAACATTTCTCTTCACTCACCTGAATTATAGCAGGATCATTGTTTATAGTAGGTGTAGGTGTAGGCTGAACAGGTGGAGAAGCCTTGACTTGCAGATCCTACCAACAACAAGAAGAACAATCAAAGTGTCCAAATTGGTTACAAAGACAACATTTTTAGTTACACAAAACCACTACTTGAAGGAATTTGTGGACCATCTTTATACCTTGAAATCAGTTCCACGGAACAATATGTACTCATAAACTTTGC